GAGCCGGCCCTAGTCTCTACCCTAGTTTCCTTGATTAGGATAACCCTAATTATGTTTGTCTATATATATTAATCTCATTGTACTTGTAAACATTTGTAGCACCTAAATAAAGAAAAACCTAGTTGCCCCCGTGGACTAGCACGATCAATCTGATCGTGTGAACCACGTAAATTCTTGTGTTACTCTTGTTTTTTGGGTTGTGCGTATTGTGTGTGTAACGTTTGTCCTAACATCAGATTTGTGCGGAAGTAGATAAACACAAAGGGCACGTGTGTGATCATCTATAAATGATATGAACCAACGTTTCCCATGAGAGGTATTAACTTTTGAGGTCCCCATAGGTTACTACTGTTGGTTAGAGAGGAAGGGCTAGTTGGTGTACAAGATTTATGGGGAAATGAAAAGTCTGTATGTTTAGCAAGTTGACAAATATCACATTGCAATTCGACAAAATTTTTATAAATAACAATGGAAACATATACTTTAAGTATAGAAAACTCACGTTCCCAAGTCGATAGTGCCATAACATAACTTTGCTAGGGATTGAAACTGAATTTGAAACCAACCTAGAAATCAAAGTAGATATACTAAGTTGTTTTCTTGGTTGTTGATCTTCAAAGAAAATGTTTGATTGCCTGGTTATGTGAAACTAGGAGTAGACTAGGACAGGACGCTAATCTAAAATTGATTTAAAAGAAGCGGTTTTTTGGAAACAAAATCTGAGATCGATTATTGGAAGAGGGCAATGGTTGTGAGGATGATTGATCGCCTGAAGGTGCTCACTGCAGATGTGAGTGACAAAGATGCCAGCAACAGTGAGACTGATCAGGAGGGCTGATATGATACCATATGAAACTATATGCAGGAATAGAGAGAAAACATATACAATCAATTCTAATCCTATATGAAGGAAAGTGTATACAATCAAATCCTTTATGATTTGATTTCCAGCTGTCATTGTCAACATGGTGCATTGCACTTGATCTAAAAAGAGGCCGTTGAAGTAATGAGAGCTTATCCACCTTGAGTGTCCCCTTCAAGGAAAGTAGTTTTGTGTCAAAGGGCTCCTTCGGAAAGGTCAAATCTATATAGGAGCAAACTATGCTAATTTCATTTCTTGTAACCCCAAACCTTGAGGTGATTGCACCAAATCGTCTCATCCACCTTAAGTTTCCTCTCAAGGATGTAGTTTGTATGTCAAAGGCCTTCCTTCAGGATGGTCGAAACTAATTAGGAGAATCACATTCCTGCTAATCATTTCTTTGTAAGCCTAAATCTTTGAGGTAATTGCACAAGTTATCTTATCGACAAGGTGACACATCAATACTAGCGCCAGATGATTTCATGTTATAACAAAACATCTCATGAAAGAAGTGATACGCATCGTTTAAAATAAAAATATATCAGTCAAGAATTAGGACACTGGGATCAAAAGCCTCTGAGAAGGTAAAAGTTGCAAGCATGTCTCATCCCTTGTAAATTGTGGTGCAAGATCAAGTTTAAGCATGAACATCTCACAAATCCTATACATCATAACACACCTTCAAAATATAAAGTTATTTGTAATCTTGAGCAATTGTTGGCTTCCTAATATATGAGTGATGTGGGATCCAATGACTCCTAATCAGATGCTTGCCCTTCATGCTTTTAAGGTTAATCCCTTAAATGCAATTAGAATCACTAGATTTGATCAAGATATTAGCCAAAGTAAAAAAATTAAATGCAGCCTCATCTCTGATAATTTCAATTTCTCATGGCAGGAACCTAAACGAAGGCCACAAGCCATCAACAAAAGAAGCTGGCGTCACTATTGGAACTAATGATGCATGTAACACATCTTGCAAGAATAAATCAGTAAGATATTCACAACAATAGAAGAGACAATGAACAAATCATTAACCATAAATGATCACAAGGAGATGATGGATGGACAATAGCCAACAAAGAATCATCTAAGATGCTTCAATAACATCAATGCTTTGATGGGTAAAACTGAGAATAACTGACGATTCGGGACAACACAAACCTGTGCAAGATGTGTCTAGTCTTTATGCAAAGCAAGTCCTACTTAGCTGGACATAAATAAAACATAAAATGTCAGATAGCAGCCATGTCATGTTGAAGACACGTCTGACATGGACGGCTATAGTGCTATCTTCTTCAGGCCACTGCCAATATGGTGTAATGGCTTGCTACAATATACTAGTTTCAGAAAGAAAACAAACAAGCACAATCCAATGCGAAGGAACAAATATTAGCTATAATAAGTTAAAAACACAACAGGAATTCAAATTAGGCAAATCCAATGCTGTAAGTAGAAAACATTGTACAGTTACAAACTAGTTTGATGATGCTCACCTATGTGTAACGGCAGCATCATTGTAACCTCCACGAGTGAAATCCCAGTCTGCAAAAGACCACCATAAATAGAAGCGAAAGGAACATAAAAATGAAAATAAGAGAACATAACTGAAGTTAATAGCATGCTGTATTGCATACCCTAGTAATTGATAGGCAGACAATCTCTTAAAAGTTAACAATTCCATACAATACAAGGGGTGAATTTAGTTCCAAGAATTGATCATCATTCCAATTCGTTCAGATTATGGCGCCAAACAGGCCCAAGAATGAACGGAAAACTTAAACAGGATAGAAGCATCAGCAAAAACGGTGCTGAACAAGATAGGATTTGAGCTACGAATAAACATATTAATACTTGATGGATGCAATTATAGACAAAAATCAGTAAGATTAAGATAGATCTAGGGCCTCTCTTCCGATGAGTTGAAGGATATGAAGAGACAAAGGCGTTCGAAGAGGATGGAGATAAATGAAACAAAAGTCAAGGTCCGATGAGTTTAAGATCGATTTAAGGGACAAAAGGGACCATCCAGTGTATCAGCTCAAGGTCGACAACGAGAGGAGGAGAAATGATATGAGCACGTCTATCAAGAGAAAGTTTGACATTGAAACTTTTAGACTCCTTTTGTGTACCTAAAAATTATTATTCTTTTCGCTTCAAACCAGTTGACATTTGATATATTACAAATAAACATACAGCCGAAAGCTTCCTCACTAAACGTCAAAACTCCAACCATAAAACAATTCACCGTAACTGTGAAACTACAAAACGTCAATTGCATAGTTGGTGCTTACCAGATGGACCACCTTGGTATCCACCAGATGAGCGGCCACCATACCAACCACGAGGCCGGTCTTCCTGATAACCAGCTCTGCCACCAATATGCTCATAGCTGCCAGGGTGATCATATCCAAACCTGTGACATAATATTAATACAATATTGGGTCCAAGTGCTAAAATTGTAACACTGAAATCAAACAGTAAGCCTGTACTAGCAAGACAAATCTAAGTATAGTGAGCAAATATATAATATTGTATTCAGACACTCCACAAATTAGAACAAACACATGACTATCTTGCAAAACAGAAGAGAACTAGAAACATCAAAACAAACACCTAATTGTATAAACTTGAAGACGCTCCTATACTCTGATCACACCAAAAAACAGACTGAAGAACAGCCAGCAAGTCCCTTACACTAGCAGCAAGAAAAACCAAAGGTAAGAAAACAATAAGCAGGACAAAATATATTAAAGCACAAACAAAATGAACCTAATATCCTAAGCAGTTAACGTGATTACTTTTTGGAATCATGGTAAGTCGATATAGCGGTTATCGCATTGATAAAGCGGTGGTATAGCGGTAAAAAATTTAGGTTCATATAATAAATACAAATAATTATATATATATATATATATATATATATATAACAAGTAAAGAACTTGACAATTGTATATATAAACATGTCTAACACACATCATGTAAAGTAAAACAAATCAAGTCCCACACAAGCAACATAACATAACAATAAAGTTTGTAAAGGTCATGAAAGAGATAATTGCACTAGCAGTACATAGCAGTGAATAGCCATAAATCACAGTCAAATAGAGATATATGCCGCCACTAATCGTGGGAGCACTATTATACTGCTATAGCACTGCTAAACCATCGGTATAGCTCCGCGATTGACTGTCCAGCTAATACCAAACTATATATTGAAGTGGAGTCAACAAAGCACACCAAAATTTACGTAGAATCTTCCAAGCAAACCAGATCCACGCAGAGTTAGCCAGGCAAACTAAATCCACGCATAGTCAGTAAAGCTAATTTAGTGTATCCAAACAAGCCTAGATAAAGGTTTAGATGGATTCCAGATCAGTCAATTTCAGACTAATCCATGCAACTCCAAACAAACTAAGCCATTAAAACAAAGAAAACCCACCAACAAACTAAACAGCAATCCACTAATGGTTAACCAGTAAAGCAAGAAGGGTGACTCATCTCGCCAAACCCAAAAAATGGAATGTCCATGCATCAAGTATGCCAAACCAAAAGGATCCCTCATGAACAAGACCAAATAAACAAATGAGTCCACCATCGGGTTAATCAAGCCTCATAGATGTCCTAGGACTCCTAAACCCAAAGATTTGTTAACTTGACAAAAACAACAAGCAAGCAAGCAGAATGAGTCCACCCATCACATCAGACAAGCTTCACTTCCTAACAGGACTATAAATTGTTTCTAGGCAAATTATTTTGGTTACAGTGATGCAATTGAATTCTCTCAAAAGGTGTATTCATAGAGGGAGCGTTTGGTACACTGAAAATGACAGAACAGAACAGGGATCCTTGTTCCACGTTTGGCAAGACTTTTATGAGAAACAAACAGCAACAGAGTGGAACAAAGTGGAATGGGCCTGTTCCACCCCTACCCCATGGAACAGGGTGGAACAAGGTAGAATAGACTTATATTTTACCAATAAACCTCAAAATAAAACTTAATTCTCTTCTAAAACATCAAATAAGTCTCTTTTTCACATTTTATTCATTCTTTAAATTTTATTCATTGTATTTTATGTTTTTTAAACTTCAATTTTATTGTCCTCGGATTTTATTTTTATACCGATTCTACATTTTTATTAATTTATGTAATTTATTATATATTAATAATAAAAATAATGGAAAAGGGATAACATAAAAATTGGAAACTACATAACTTTTTACTTTGGTGTCATTTTAGTTGTTTTGACGAAAACTTTCTAATGATATATTTTGTTATAAAAAGTAATTATTTTTATTAAAATTTAATAAATTACATAAATTAATCAAAATATATAAACAACTCATCAGACGTAAATTGGTCATTTTACTTGTTTTGTTCTGTCCAGTTCTGCCTTACCAAACGCTGAACAATTGTTTTGTCCTGTGCTGTCATGTCTGGACACCAAATGCACCCAAAGGAAACTCAATAAATACATAGTGATGTGTACACATGTTACGTTCTCCACATCAAACAACTTCTTCGGGACTCGCACATTAAAAAGGTTCAATGTAAAATATTTTTTCACACCTAAAACTCTTTGTTTAAAAGCAATGAGCAAACTACCCCTTTTCCGATTTATTAGTGTTGTCCCCCTTGCGTTCCCCCCCCCCCCNGAATTCCATTTCCCTTTTTCTCCACTCTTATTTCTTCCTTTCTTATTCTCCTGTTGGAAGTACCTAATCTGCTTTTTTAAATCTTTCCTTTCTTAACCGGTTGTCATCTTGCAGGGTCTTAATAGCTAATTAAGGCCATGTTTGCCAACCACAAGCTAGCTTTTTGAAACGCAGGTAGCGTTTCAATAAACTCCCAGGGCTTTTTCCACTTTCTTCCAATTTGCCCCTTATTAATTAAGATCAATTATTATTTATTTTGAATATTAGTCATTAATTAGTTTTATGGTGTCGTCATTGTTATCATCATATGATTATTCAATCCAAGGTTTTAATGTACGGAAACGTGAGGTGAGGCATTTTCCCTCACTTGGCGAGGCTGTTCGAGGCGTAAGTCTCGAGGCAGAAAATAAAAATAAATAAAATAATAATATAATATATGTAATACTTAGCTGATAATAATATTTAGAATCATAATGTTGCTAGAAGTCTGTAAATACTTTAATTTAGGTAATTAGTTGTTAAAGATTTTATTTTTTATTAAAAAAATAGATAAACAATAAAAGCCTCCCACATAAAGAGAAACAATAAAAGAGACAGATGTCAAGAGAAGAAGAAAAGTCATTCCTGCTATGTAAAATCGAGGAGTCCTTATGCACCTTCCAGGTCACATCCCTAGTACGTAGTCTTACTGCATAAAAACGAAAAATCAAACATAGCAGTAAGTTTTCTTCTTCAATGACCATGCACAAGGGCAAAGCAAGAAGCAGAGGTTTAACTTTAATGGGTCATGAATAGGTAATTATATTTTCTTTGATTTGGCATACTTTTTAACCCTAAAGTCTTAGTACCGCCTTAGCCCCGCCTCTACCGCCTCAGTAGTTCGAGGCATACGATCCAACCAACCTAGCAGAGGTGATGCCTCAAGAACGTTCTTGTAAGTTATATTTCTTATGTTTCATAATGAATAAAAATTCGATAAATCATTTTAATAAAATATTTATTATTAATTAACGATTTCTTTTGAAGTATTATCGCTTAATTAAAAAATTTACAGTTTTGCTTTTATTTATGTTTGCATAACTGACTAAAGATTATTCAAAATCATCAATTAATTAAAGATTTTCTAAAATTCATATTTGGTTACACTAATTAATAATTTTTGAAAGTTAGTTACATTCCCTAACATACAATGCTGGTGTCATGTAATATTGTTGATATTCCATGAAGTTCAAGGAATGTCCATCAAACCTAATAGTTGAAGACCTCTTTATTTTGGTTACTACTTGTTTTAGTGAGATGTTTTAATTATATTATGTAATCTACATTTAAGTAATTTGTCAACATGTCCTCTTTAGGTTATTCAAAATCATCAATCAATTAGGCAATTTTTCTAAAATTCATATTTGGTTACACTAATTAACAAATTATGAAAGTTCATTGCATTCCCTAACATACAATAGTTGTATCATGAGATTTGAGAAAGTCATAATCAATTAATCATATTGTTAATATGCCATGAAATTCGTGGAATATCCATTAAACCTAATAGTTGGAAAAAAAATTATTTTGGTTGCTACTTATTTTAATACGATGAAATGTATTAGTGATATGTTTTAATTATATTGTGTAATGTTACATTTAAGTAATCTTTCAACATGTCCTTTTAGTTCATTTTACATTTCTCACTTAGCTTATCAGCTAGTTTTTACCAAATGTGATTGGTTTATTAGTTAGTTTTTCAGCTAACAACTAGCTTTTCAAGCAACTGCTATCTTATCAACTAGTATGCAAGCGTAACCTAAGAAGGGTAGACATGTCAAATCCTACTTAAAAAAGCGTAAACGTTCTTCTACAATTTAACTAAAACTTTGGGCCTCTATATGTTATAACGTTGAGCTCATGCTCCTTGAAGATGAAATGCGTAGGATTTCACATGAATGAAAACTCAATTCTATCGGTGCTAAATAGAGCCCATCAACTAGCATTTCCCACTAATATTTGTTATTATTTTGGTTTAACCTGCTTTGTAGACAATCTAATTAAGTTTGCACATTTCTTTCCTAGATTTCACAATAATCAATTTTAGTTCACTCCAAAAGTGGTATAATTGCATGCTTAATCAAGTCATATGCCAACCTTATTTGCCTCTACCTGTACATGGAGTTAATTCTTAGCAAGTCAAACATTGAAAAACTCATACGCAATTATTGTGGATGGCAGAATTCCTAAACCTTCTTGAGCCGATAGACTAATAAATCTGTTTAGCGAATATGATGTTGCATAAAAATAATATTATGATGGGTTATACGTTTTGCCACTCTACTTCTACATTAAATAAAAAAATTCTAAGTGAGTAGTAAATATAAAAGTTTGCTCAAGGTTGCAACTTGCTAGTAAACTTTTTGAAAGTTAACCCTTTAAGCTCAACTTCTTCCCATTTGTATATTATTCTATTTTTAAACAAAATTAGTGCCATGTAAACATAGATTGACAAGCAAAGAACCCATCAACTAAAGAGGGAAAATAATCGCTTCTAAACAATATCAACTTTTTAATACCATTTTAAATGTTTGAGGAAGTAATGGGTTCCACGACAAAGCTACTTGAATTTCCATATTGTTTTCTCTAGGTCAAACTAGGTCTTCATTCTCTAGCCAAGATGATACCAAAATTTGGTAGAATAATAATACAAATCTCATACCGTCTTACAGGAGGAGCATACAAAGTACATGTTTTTGTGATAAATGATTCATGTTTCTGTCATGACTCAAAACTATATCCTCTTTGCCAAACCAAGTTATTACATAACCCATTATCACAATGATATTATCGCTTGCTATGTTGTTATATTTAGATTATAAAATATATCTTGAATAAAAATTGAAGAAACATAGATGGTTGTCTTCCCATCGTCACGAGATGTTATTTAATTGCTCTTCACGTCTAGCTTATGGTTTCTACTCCTAGTGTTTTAACTTACAGTATAATGTAGAACTTACATTATCAAATCCAATATACTTAAAATTGGGCTTATGTTTGTGAATTGGATGTCGAGCATATTAGATGGTGTACGCAAACATGTACTATAAACATAAGTTGTGCGATTAACAAACAGAAACCTATATTCAACTGTACATATTTTGGTTAACACCTGTGATCCAGAACTCATCTCAAGCTTTTCTATTTGTCTAAAAAATTGAGTCCCATCAAACAAATTTCATATATGTTATAACATCAAAATATTACTGCATATTCGTTGTTGATATAATATGGTCATTATATTGAGCTTGGACAAATATGGAGAACATTTATTTTGCTTAAGTACTCATAAGTATTATGTATATGTTTTACAAAGCTAAACTTTAAGGGGGTACATTGCAAAGATTTTATGACATAAGGTAAGATCTTAGCATGTTTGCTTTCAAATACTAGGAGCTAACTTATAAGGAGAGAACAAGAAGTAAAGGTGAATCCTGATGAAGCTAAAAAAAGAAACATTTGATACCTAGCATCTTTCAGCTCTCATGCATACATGTAGTGGTTTCGGCACTGGTGAGGAGGGTTGGAATCGTAACATCGAGGTGGTCTAGGTGGTGAGGCAGAAGGGGAAACCAAGAAGGATGTGGGAAAAACAACTAAGACATAGCGGCTTTAGACATTTCCAAAGTATGAACTATGACCTCGTATGGGAGTTTCTAGGGAAGTAGAATTATGGTAGCTGATTCGTGTGAGGCTTTTGGTTTCTATGGTCGAAGGATGAAGTAGGGAGCAAGACGATGGTACGGAACAAGGGGTAGAGAGCACATCTAGGTACTAGAGTCTTAGGATATGTAGTACGAACTCCTGTAGTAGCCTTTGAGTGAATTCAGCCAGAATGAGGTCTTTCGGTTAATTTCATGCTAGGTCAGTTAGTTATCTCATACTTTTTCCTTATGGTTTTAATGCCCTTGTTTAATCTTTTTTTTCATGTTGTTTAACGTGCATACTTGTCCTAATTGATCTACCTGCTCTTCATTAACTCTTGCAAACCACATCTTTTTTGACATATTTATGAGGTGCTTAAGATTCCAAATCTCTGCATACAGCAAGCTGGGGGTTTTCATGGGAACATCTCTATCCCATAAGGTAGAAGAAAGGTCTACATGCATTTTCCCTCCGTGAACCTTACTTTCTATGGGATTTACTCATTCATTTGATTTGGTTTGGTTTACTCAACTCTCAAACCTATTAACATAGAAAAGTACTGTAAGATATAAAGAAAGCAGAACTAACAAGTGCTATTAGAAACGATGCTCTTTATATTTTTTTAGGATATAGTTCAAATATACGGTATCGAAGCTTTTGAAATTAAGTTATCTTTACTCTCTTCTCGTTTTTTGATATCCTGGAAAGGCTGACCGATGGTCAAGCTCATTGATACATGACTCGGATTAATATTTAAAGGAACTGCAACAAAAGCGAGCATCCTCTAAGACTGACTTGAATTCAAATTGAAATGGGGGAGGGGATATTATGTCATAACATCATGAACAAGGATGAAGATTATGACCAGACAGGAGTAGTTCACAAAAAAACAAATGTACATTCATCAAGCATAATGGCAAGTAAATGCTTCTCCTAAGACCATGATTGTGAATTGAGTGATGTGTATGTGTGCACATATACATACACACATACACGTACGCATACACATACATACAAATACATCGGTACAAAAGCTTTTGTGCACATCTATGACAAGGAAAGAAGGAATAAACTACCAAAACCTGCATAAAAGAAGTGTGATCTCCACTAATCCCACTTCCTTGCAACACATAGAAGTACCTTCAAATACATTACTACTAAGTAGATCCAATGGCAATAGAGTTCACTATGCTTTATATCTTAATTGGCATCTATCAAAAACATAGACTTTGTTCGCTTTAGTAACGCATCACAAGAATATAATTGCCCCTTTCACATCTCCATAAGACATGGAAGGTTAGAATCACTTAGATTTCAATTTTCCCTGTAACTAGGGTTAGATTTTATGATTGTTTGATTCGATATTTGGAATTAGAATATACTAAATCCCATGAACACCTCGATATTGGAACCTTTTCTTTATTCCATGTCACAACTATCTTCTCATGGCACAAAATCGATGACACCTGCTTTCTCATCTTCACAGCTCAATTTCAATTATTACATCTCCCTCCTTTTCTAAATTAAAGTGTTTCCTGCGTACTGGTGATGTTAAAGGAAGGAAAATGCTCATATTTTATAAAGGCTAGAAAAGAGTAACACGAATCACAGTCCTCAGTCCTTTTGATGACATGATTGCTTAATCAAGATGTTGCTTGTGTTTAGACAATGGTTGCAAGCTTTAAATATTATTCATGCAGAAAGAGAATTAGAGATATACAGACCATAATATTGCCACAATCTCCCTGGAATGAGATCCCCTTACTAGCACATACACGATAAAAATAAGCAACTGTCGGAACACTGGTTAGCTAACAGCCTAATCATCCATCTGATAAAAAAAATCAGCACCATCTCACAAATTCTAATGAAATGGCCTACAAACGAGTAGAATAATAACTTAAACTAAGTACCAACCTTCTATCACCAGGTCCGAAACCTCCACGAGGACTTCCACGACGGCCGTCGTGACTACCTTCATCCCTGCGAGACCTCTTAAACTGCGGGAATGGAGGTGAGCGCCGAGGAGGAGAATGGCCACCACCACGGCGGTCACGATACAGAGGTGGAGGAGGAGAAATAGGGCTAGCAGCATGCCGCTTGTAATCCCGGTGAGGAGGCACCGGGGAAGAGCGATTACGATTATCGTAGTAATCGGAACGACGATTAGATGGGCGCTCAGTGTCACGGTCCCTGTCATCATTTCTTCTCTCTCTTGAGTCACGGTCACGGCGTTGTGAGGATGGTCGTGCTGGCGCTAGAGCTTGCGCTGGTGCTGGTGTTGGTGCTGAAGCTGGAGCTGGAGCTGTTGCTGGTGGAGATGCATCAGCATTTTCGTCGTTGGCCAACTTCTTGTCGTTATCATCGTCATCGTCTTTCTTTTCTCCACTACTCCGGCGATCGACGGGCATGTTCATCACTTCAGCCATTGATGCAGAAATGAGGAGAAACAAACCCTAGAACTCGATGCAATAAACTGGTCACGAATGACGCTGGAATCTGGATCAGAGTAAGAAAATTACTGAATTACAAAATGGTCCTTCAACTATTACTATTAAAGGTGGTTTGGAATTTGTTAAATGGTTTGTTCGGAATGATTAAGTAAGTATCCATAATGATTACAAAAATCTTATAATATAGTAGAAAATATAATATGTTTGTTTGGTAATTGTTAGAATGAAATTAGGGCGTTTAATGTTTTAGGCGGTCTAAGATACAAAATCGTTTAGACGGTTTTACAATCGTTAAAAGGCAGACATTTTTTTGTCAAACAAAATTCAACTCTTAGTGATTCAGATATTGTCTTTATAAAATTATTAAGACGTAAACGAATAGTCTTAGTTTAAAGAGTAAATTACAAAAAATTGTCCTTAAGGTTGGTGGAAACTTTGATTTTTTCCCCTAACTTTTGGAAATTAAAAGGATGGACATCCATGTTTACATTTCGTTTCGAAAATCGTTCCTTGGCATTGAGGTATGTTTTATGTTGTTAAGTGCCCTCACCTCCTAGTCAGCTGAGGGCATTCGATTATTTTACATGTTTTTATAAAAAAAATATTTGTACCATTTTCTTCTTATTTTTTGTATAAATTTGGACAACTTATATACAACTGATCAAAGTATTTCAAAAAAAAATTAGTAAAAGAAAATTCACCTTCAAGAACATCTTGATCATCATAGACATATCTACCACTTACGAACAAATTTATAAACAACATCAAAAACATCTTACTTTATCCCAAAAATTTGTATACAAAACTCAAAATAGAAAAAGACAAAGCACCTAAAATTAGAACCTAAATCAAAACGCTAAATCGTAATGTTATGAGAACAGAGAACCACCACCATGATCGAAACAACACCACTATCACCGAATCAATGAAAAAGAGAATCGCCAAAACCAATGAGTCACTAAATGTTAGACCTTGTTACTACTATGATGATTGGTAACCAAACACCAAAATACACTTAAAAATAGATTGAGTTACCAATCAATTGGTACCAAGAGATGTAGATCTAAAGACTTTCAGTGATGATGATGATCCAATGAATTCGTTCCATGAAAAATTAACTACTGAAGATGTGTCGTTGAAGTCAACCCAAGGTCTGACGTTAAAGACGTGAAATACTAGAACCGAATACCAGGGCCGTCCCTGGGGAAGGCCGACACGGACGCATACCCAAGGCTCAGGGAATATAGGGGCCATGTGAAAATCATCTTAGTATATAGTTCGAGTCCAAATAAAATTAGTAGATAAAAAATACCTAAAATTTGTAATAGTACATAATAGGATGTCAACATATATTTAGTAGATAAAAAGGGTCAAAAAATTGTATTAACTAGTTATATTAGAGTCTGTTAATTTAATCACACTGTCATGATCATTTAATTTCACCTATCTTGCTTATGTTTTATGTGAGTTGTTTCCATGGCACCAACACTAGCTATTGCTATCTACGATCCATCCCATGTTAATCTATATAGGCATTTTAGTGTTTTTTTTTTTTGATGTAATTTTAGGTTTCATTATTCCATGTATGTTCTAATTATGTAATGAAATAAAGTGAGACATCTTACTCTTATTATTTATCCATTTTGTCTAGACGATATAATTGATGGTTGTTAAGGGAATAATTTGAAGCCCCAAGATTTCAGGTGTTTAAGCATTTCATACTTTAAATTGGGATTAAACTAAGGGTCCACTTTTTGTTTACAGAATGTAACACATGAAAGTTAATTATGTATATATTTTGGTGATTAATGTTATTGGGGTGGTGTAATAGGATTGAGAATGCAGATGGATTGCTATAATTGTACAAATAAATGGTACATAAATAAACTCGAACTACAAAGAAAAACAGTTCCAATTTGTAACTTCAAAATTGAATTGTGAAACTTTCTTACTATCTTCAAAAGTTTATTCAATAAGAAAAATCAAACTACGTTGTTAGAATAATATTTCTACAATGACCACAATTCATTTCTTCAATGCTTCGAAGAGGGCTAAGAATTCGAATTTGAGGAAAAACAATAGGAACCACAAGTTTGGAGAAATATGATTTGTTTGTGTTTATTTGATATTTATTCAAATGATATGAATAATTTACTGAGAGGGTTTTGTTTATAGTCAAATGTTTAAATAGCTTTGTTTATTTCTAATAATTAGTAACATGTTTTGACTTTGGTTTGGTGAGGCGGACAAGTTGTATATTTACTAAATGATATTGATCTAGATATTGTTATTAATGATTTTGTGTCTAAGAATATTTGAAAAATTATTTTATATGAAGTATTTGAGTTTATTTTACTCCATTATATTTTTGATAATAAAGAGCATTTCTTTAAGATTATTTCGTACTTACCGAGGCCCTTTTCTTACAAACGCCCTGGGCCCAAAAATTGTCAAGAACGGGTCTGCCGAATACTTTGAACGTTAAAGTCTACAACACATTTATCCCATATTATTTTCCATTAGGGGCCTTGACAATATGGTCTCGTGACATTTATGTCAGCACCTCGACAGAAATTACAAGTACAGTTTTTGCATTAATGTCAAATAAATTATTTACTTCCAAAAGAGGATAGAAGAAGCATGTTAAAGAAGCCACACAATTATGTAATCAACCAGTTGTCTTGATAAGTAGAAAGCTTTGGTACAAAAGGCTATGAAAAGTATCCCAAAGAAGACAAAAAAAAAAGCTTTAACATCCATCAGATAATGAATATACATTTGGTATGATCTAATAGTTTTTACTCGACATTTAATGATATAAGGCTATTGTTGTGGTATGAATTGTATGAAATCAAACCTAACATAAAATGGCAAATGAATGTGATGCAATTATACACCTCTAAACACTAGCATCTATTACAAGTAATAGGGTGAGACACTGATTATCAGTCGACTGGAAACTAAGCTTTGAAATCTTTGGAAAGCCAAATTAGAAAAGTTAACTTTAAAGGACAAATTCGAAGAAATATCTTTGTGAATAAGTTATAGTTAAATCAGACAATAAATGTATAATGCAAGAGTTTAAAGCTCAAGACTTAAAACAAACAATCTGGTGGTGGACTGGTGTTGCAGCATGTTTCAAATCAAGGTGATGTTGCAGCATTAGATTCATGAGCTTAGGAAATAACAATTAACATCCAACCATCAACTTAAGAGCACTCATTCTAAGGTTGAAACATGCATTCCTCCATATATCATTACTCAAGTTGTCACCACTTGTGGTATGGGCCACGACAAATCTTTCATGTTAAGTTGCATGGGCTATGAAATAATATCCATTTTTAAGTGTCTTGAAAATATTACTTCCATGTCATTTCAGTGGTGTGTATGTGTCACGCCCCGATTTTTATTTTTATTTTATTTTTTATTTTTATTTTTTTTCCTCTTTCCAATCGAGTGCCGTGACGTCATTCTTAATAACTTATGTCTTGAACAAAAATACGAACTTAAAATTTCAAACACACATAATATGTTTAACATAATTCGTTACATAATTGCGGAAGCGTAAAATACTTTAACATAATCAATGCTAATTAAAATATCTAATTAAGCATGATTCAAAACATAGTCCCGTCTTTCTTCATTCACTCATCTACTGACAAATGACACCTGAGATATATACATGTATAGTATAAGCAAAAAACTTAGTGAATACAATATGGTTTCATGATCACATGCACGCATAGAACAGCGTTTTAGCATATTTTAATTATTATCTTGCAAGTGCGGCCTCGGCTCGTCACTTTTCTTTGCGTATGTGGCGTATTCTATAGACGAGAACTCCAAGACCTTGGAATTGCAAGCCCTCCTTTCATGTCCAACCCACCCCGTACGATGGACGAATCTTGCCGAATCATACTAGTTGCATATCGTTTATTTGCAATACTCACTCATTAATGCAAATCTCATCGTGACATGCAACATACATCTCATGCAARTGACAACATAAATCACATATGTATCATCGTCATTYTTTTCACATTATACACATACTTGAATATCATATTGATAATAACAAGTCATCATAATCTTTCTCGTCAATATCACCTTTCATATCATGCATATATTTAAATATCATGCACATCAATGTAATCACGTTATCATCATATGCATATAAACATATCATGCGTATATCATGGATAAAATACTTTTATAATAAGTCATGTATATATCCCATAAAAATCGCATAATGTACTCACCTTGAAGTGTTAACGTTCAGTAGACTTTTCTCTCCCAAACGGCAACCTATATGATAATTATACCATGATATCTCATTAACATCTAAATTTCTCCAAAAAGTCAACAAAAGTCAACTATTGTCATTCTGCCCCAACCTAAAGTCAAACTTCGTATACGAGCATCTTAGTATACCTCAAACAACTCTAATTGACCTATTATTAACAACCACATRGGTCAAACGAACCGAAAGTCAACCCTTGGTCAACTTAATCAACTCCAAGGAGACCAAAGCCTCTGTGGCGACCAGAGCCTCTAGTTGTATTGACCAGAGCCTCTGGTTGTATTGACCAAAGCCTCTGTGACGACCAGAGCCTCTGTGGCGACCAGAGCCTCTGGTTGCAATGACCAGAGCCTCTGTGACGACCAGAGCCTCTGTGGCGACCATACTTAGAGAATAATTCAACATCATACCAGAGCCCCTCTGGTCTCTCTCCCARAGCCTCTGTGGTCCTACACAGACTCGAAAGCTAAGGTTTGAGACATAAGGCTACTAAGGTCCTACAGAGGACCTAACACGAAGTTAATCAAATAAGGAGCATGGACGATGGTTGAGTGTTTTACCTCTAAATGCAGACTTCGGATGAGGACTTCGAGCTCCGATTTCTCTCCCTATACTTAATGAAATCTTAAGAAGTTTGAATGCAAATTGTAGAGCGAAGTGAAGTCTATTTATATGCTG